TTTCTCATTGTTTAGCTTTATTCGGTTTGCCTGAGGCTGACACTAAGGGCTTGTGTTTCTGTACTGGACAAACCCCAGTCCCAGCTAGAGCACATAGAAAACAACTGTTTGCAATGTAGCCTGGAGGTGTGGTGAGTATGCTGTGGTAAAATGCAGGCTTGTAGCATTTTAAAGAAAGAAAGAAAGAAGAGAGAAAAAAAAAGAAAGAGAAAGAAAAAGGAAGAGGGCGAAAGAGAGAGGGCGAAAGAGAGAGGGCGAAAGAGAGAGGGCGAAAGAGAGAGGGCGAAAGAGAGAGGGCGAAAGAGAGAGGGCGAAAGAGAGAGGGCGAAAGAGAGAGGGCGAAAGAGAGAGAGAGAGCGGAAGAGAGAGAGAGAGAGCGGAAGAGAGAGAGAGAGCGGAAGAGAGAGAGAGAGAGAGCGGAAGAGAGAGAGAGAGAGCGGAAGAGAGAGAGAGAGAGCGGAAGAGAGAGAGAGAGAGCGGAAGAGAGAGAGAGAGAGAGCGGAAGAGAGAGAGAGAGCGGAAGAGAGAGAGAGAGAGCGGAAGAGAGAGAGAGAGCGGAAGAGAGAGAGAGCGGAAGAGAGAGAGAGCGGAAGAGAGAGAGAGAGCGGAAGAGAGAGAGAGCGGAAGAAAGAGCGAAGAGAGAGAGAGAGAAAGAGCGAAAGAAAGAGAAAAAGAGAAAGAAAGATGCACACAAGGTAAAGCTGGAGATGGTGGCTGACAAGATCAGTGCCTCTTCTAGTTGGTCACCTCATATACATACAGTAATACTGTTGTTTCCATGATTAGCTGTATAAGAGGTTCTTTTCTAGGATTATATTTTGACTGTATTGTTCACACCATCTTTAGGGTGGTCCGTATTGTACATTGATTTTCGAAGATTTCCATACTTTTATAAAATTATGTAAAAAACTCTTTTTTTTTGGCACTCTTTATTTTACAAAAACAAAAAAGATAAAGCTGGGGTGTCAAGGGGTTAGACCCCCCCCCCCTTTTTTATTTTTAACACAAGAGTCTGCAAGGACACGAAAAAAACAATTATTTTCTACTGACCCGCCACTTTATTAGGTACACCTGTTCAATTGCTTGGTAACACAAATTGCTAATCAGCCAATCACATGGCAGCAACTCAATGCATGTAGGCATGAAGACGTGGTGAAGACGACTTGCTAAAGTACAAACCGAGCATCAGAATGAGAAAGAAAGGAGATTTACGTGACTTTGAATGTGGCATGGTTGTTGGTGCCAGACGGGCTGGTCTGAGCATTTCAAAAACTGCTGATCTACTGGGATTTTCACACACAACCATCTCTAGGGTTTAGAGAATGGCCCGAAAGAGAGAAAATATCCAATGAGGGGCAGTTGTGTGGACGAAAATGCCTTGTTGATGTCATAAGAGAATGGGCGGACTGCAACATTCAGATGATAGGATCAGAATTTGGCGTAAACGACATGAATGCATGGATCCATCCTACCTTGTATCACTGGATCAGGCTGGAGGTGGTGGTGTAATGGTGTGTGGGGGATATTTTCTTGGCACTAGCAAGGTGTACCTAATAAAGTGGCAGGTGAGTGAAGGTTCCCAATTCACTTCACAGTGCTTCTATAAAATGTGCATTTTTTTTTTCTGTGCAGAAATAATTCAACATGTACAGTTGTGTTCAAAATAACAGCAGTCAGACATCACTAACCTGATCAATCACTGTTTTTGGTAGAAATGAGATTTCTACATGAGAAATAATTTACTAGCAGGTGTAGTAGAGTAATAGATATCCAACAGACCCAACAGTCATGACATGCATGCTGCTGATTCTGTGTAATTGAATCACTAGTTGAAAGGGGCATGTTCAAAATAATAGCAGTGTGGAGTTCTATTAGTGAGGTCATTCATTCTTTGAAAAACAGCTGGCAATTATTGCCCTTATTTAAGGAAGGAAGGCAACAAATGTTGTACATGCTGGTTACAGTGCATTTCTCTCGGAAATTCTCAGGAAAATGGGTCGTTCCAGACATTGTTCAGAAGAACAGCGTACCTTAATTAAAAAGTTGATTGAAGAGGGGGAAAACGTATAAAGAAGTGCTGAAAATGATAGGTTGCTCAGCTAAAATGATCGCAAATGCTTTAAAATGGCAACCAAAACCTGAAAGAAGTGGAAGAAAGCGAAAAACTACCATTCGAATGGATAGAAGAATAGCCAAAATGACAAGGACTCAGCCAACAATCAGCTCCAGGAAGATGAAAGAAGGTGTAAGACTCTGTGAGGACTGTTACAATTAGAAGACGCCTATATGAAGCCAAGCTATCTGCAAGAAGCCCCCGCAAAGTCCCACTGTTGGAAAAAGACATGTGCTGAAGAGGTTACAATTTGCCAAAGAGCACATTGACTGGCCTAAAGAGAAATGGCGCAACATTTTGTGGACTGATGAAAGTAAGATTGTTCTTTTTGGGTCTAGTGGCCGGAGACAGTTTGTCAGACGACCCCCAAACACTGAATTCAAGCCACAGTACACTGTGAAGACAGTGAAGCATGGTGGTGCAAGCATCATGATATGGGGATGTTTCTCATACTACGGTGTTGGGCCTATTTATCGCATACCAGGGATCATGGATCAGTTTGAATACATCAGAATACTTGAAGAGGTCATGCTACCTTATGGTGAAGAGGAAATGCCCTTGAAATGGGTGTTCCAACAAGACAATGACCCCAAACACACCAGTAAACGTACAACATCTTGGTTCCAGACCAACAGGATTGACGTTATGGAGTGGCCAGCCCAATCCCCGGATCTTAATCCAATAGAAAACTTGTGAGGTGACATCAAAAATGCAGTTTGTGAGGCAAAACCAAGAAATAGAGAAGAACTGTGGAATGTAGTCCAATCATCCTGGGCTGGAATACCTGATCACAGGGGCCAGAAGTTGGTTGACTCCATGCAACACAGATGTACAGCAGTTCTCAGAAACAGAGCTTATACAACGAAATATTCATTAAGTGATTCAAAGGAAAGCAAAATCTTCAAACATTTTTCAGTTTATATAGTGAATGTTTGAGTTTGTAAAGAAGAATACAAACACTGCCGTTTTTTTTTTTTTTTTTTTTAACAGTCTAATATTCACTTTTCTTCAATTTTTTTTTTAGAGGAACAACACAAATTTGATATATTTTTCTTCATGTTTTGATTTGATAGAATGTGTAGTGTTCCCAATGCATTTGTGTGTATGGAAATAAAAGTTATTAGAAGGATTGTGAGCTTTATTCACTTTTTCCAACACACTGCTATTATTTTGAATACAACTGTATATCTCTGCGAGAACACAAACAAAACAATTGTTTTCTATGTTCCCTGTTCACACCAAATTGCTGGTGCTGTGCTTTTATTCTGTGGAGAAAAATGCATACATATTGCATTTTTTTACCATAGAAAAAAACAAACATGACCCAGCCTTGTGGCGTGAATAGAGAACAAAGAAAACAATTGTTTTCTTGTGTCCTAGCAAAGAGAGGTGCAGGAAAAGGCATGTCTCTGCACATGGTGTAAATGAGGCCTCAATGTGTAATATTAAAGGCTCTGCATTGTCTGTTACCTGGTAGACTTCAGGGTTCATGTCAGTCAAAGACTGCCATATTGGACTGATCTGTACGGCCATTGGCTGTCCTTCCTCCGTCAGAACTCGGACATGAGGTGGTGTTCACCAGAACGGAGACCGCACACAATCGATTCTGCTCCACAGGGTTGAACACTAAAACATACCTGTAACACAGTAAAGGGAAACTTAACAACTTACAGAAGTGGATAGCAGCTCCAGTACACCAGGAATTTTATTCTCCTTGTGTGACAATAACTCATGACAAAACCATATTCAATTTTTATTATGTAAAAACCTAAAAAACACCTGTCTCCAATCTATAGCTATCAGTCATTTCTGCCAGTCAAATAAAACTTAAGCAACCATAAGGGATGTGAAAATTTTTGAAACTACTTTACCGGGGGACTAAAGCGGTGTCCCAATCTTCTTGTCCTGATAATTTGTTATTTTTTTTTTAACCAAAACCGTATTTAAATCTGCTTTAAGTAATGTCGGGGGGCTTTGAAAAACAAAAAGGGGCTTTATGGCAACGTTTACTATTTTTAATATTGCGCTGTTTATCTCCTCCTCCCCTCTCTGTCTCTCTCCAGCATCACCCCCGGGAACTAGCAAGGAGCGGAGAGAACTTCCAGTGTAATGAGTACCAATTGGGTGCTGGTCAGGAAAGGGGAGTGTCAGGCTTAGCCTTTATACCTTTTGCTGCCAGAGCTGTTTTTGTGTTTTTTGTACACGTTTAAAAAAAAATAATTTAAGACCTGAAAATTACACAAAGTGCCAAAACATGACATTTTCTGAAATCAGAGACCCTAGAGAATAAAATAGCGGTAGTCACAATTTTTTTATGTCAAACGATATTAACACTTTATTGCTGTTTTGTGTACTAAAATTAACGAAATTATCCGATTTTTTGGTAAAATATAAAAGACGAGTTTGCATCAAGTAAATAGATATCCATTAAAGGTCATCAGTTTAGCATTACAGAGGAGGTCTGGTGCTAGAATTTTGGCTCTCATTCTGGCATGCGGGGAGATATGTAACATGTGTATTGCAATTGTTTTCATGTGTAGGCGCCCCATCACGTGCTTTTACGTTTGTATGTGGGGTGGGGGTGCCTTGAAAATTTTGGGGGGGGGGGGTTACATGCTTGGGTGTAACAAATTTTTTTTGCTTAACCTCTTTGCGCTGGCGCCTCTCGACTCTAAGAGTTTCAGAAGCTTTCATGTGACCGCTGTGATTTGCTGTCACATGATCAGAAAAGGTCCCGATCACAAAAGGGAGATCGGGACCTTTCCATGAGTAATGGACATATGTGCTGGGAGCGCGCAGGGCGCACGCTCTCAGCACATATGTATTTTCTAATTGCACGCAAATATGCGGCTGCTCGGCGGTGTGAGCTCGGCGTCTAGGGGTTAAGGACCGCACTATAGCAGATATACTGCTACAGGGCGGCACCTGTGCGCAAAATCACATATATATACAAGTGATTTTGCATTTCCGGGTATGGGGTGTGCATGACCACGCATGCGCCCTACCCGCACCGCCATTCGTGGCTGCAGATGTCAATCACCGGGTCCCGGCCGGTAATTACCTGCTGGCGTCCGGTGATTACCGAGCATCTCCGACGGGGAGGAAGAGATTGTTTTGTTTACAAACATTCTTGCTCCCTTTCAGCTCAAACACACTGCTCGGGATGGCTGTACACAGTACAGCCATGCGGATCCGTGTGCTTACAGTGAACACCCCCCCCCCTCCCTCTAGTAAAATACACACAGTTAACCCTTTGATCACCCCTCACATTAATCCCTTCCTGCCCAGTGCCATTAGTACAGTGTGGGTGCTTTTTTTTTTTTTTAGCTCTGATCACTGTATTGGTGTCACTGGAGATGTCAATGACACCAATTTAGTTTCCCTCTAGTGTCAGAATGTCTACTGCAGTCCCGCTAAAAGTTGCTGATCGCCGCCATTACTAGTAGAAAAAAAATCCCATTATCTATACTGCCATTTGTAAACGCTATAACTTTCACGTAAACCAATTAATTTACACGTATTGGGATTTTTTTTTTTTTTTTAGCAAAGACATGCAGCAGAATACATTTTGGCCTAAATTTATGATGAAATTTGATTTTTTTTTTTTTTTTACTGGACATGTTTAAAAGCAAAAGTTGTTATTTTTCTCAAAATTGTCGGTCTATTTTTTGCTTATAGTGCAAAAAATAAAAAAACACCACAATCAATCAATCAAATACCACTGAAAGAAAGTTCAATTTGTGGGGGAAAAAAAAAGGACATAAATTTAATTTGGGTGCAGTGTTGCATGACTGCGCAATTGTCAGTTAAAGTAACGCAGTGCTGTATCGCAAAAAGTGGCCTTGTCAGGAAGAGGTGTAAATCCTCAGGAGGGCAAGTGGTTAACTTTTTTTTATTTTTAAAATCACATAGGGGACAAAAGTCCCTTATTTGATGATTTTTTTTGGTGACAGATTCTCTTTTTTGGAGACATCCAGGGTCTAAAAGACTCCCAATGTCTCCCCTGTACTGCACTGAATGTAATGCAGTACACATCGCACTGCATTACATTCTTTCCCGGCCTCAACGGCCAGGAATCTGTCAACAGGAACCCAGAAGTGATGTCACATCACTTCCAGGTCAAGACAAGAAGGGGAGGGGAGCGGATGCGTCCAATGTCTTCCCTCCCCTATTCCCACCGGAACCCACTGAACCAGTCCCGGGCCTGCAGATGGGCCAGCGGAGCCCCGGGACATATAATGAGCAGGCAGGCGGAGGCTGGCAATATAGTGGGCTGTGTGGAAGCAATCAGGTTGCATCGCTGCTGCCTGAATGCTTCCACCTAACAGGTGAGCCCTGCTGCTTGTCCACAGCAGGGCTAAATGTAAAAAAAAAAAACCCAAAACAACAACAAAAAACAAAAATAAAACAACAACCTTCCCGGCGATATGAATTGAACATCCCTGATGTACTTGCAATTTCGAAGGAATGCTTTAACCCACATACCGTGGAGTGGAGCCTAATTTGATAATGGTTTTCTCTGGCAGGGTTTCTTGAGTCAGACGGCTGTCATCCTACAAGAGAACATACTATATTTAATGGTTAAAGCAAAAATAAAGGAGGACATCATATACAACATTAGTACATGGGAGCTTTCAAAGTACTTGAATGGAGCCATAAAGTATATGTTCAGTTTATGTGGAACTACATGAAGCCATTGACTTCATAAGTTTCCAAATGCATTTTTTTTTTATTTTTGTAATTTTGCATACTGTGCCTTTATTCCCTAGTCACCCATCGGTGCTTCTCACTGCATGCAGCTTCAGAGCGCTTTACTGAGAGTGATCAAAACCATATAAGATGACAAAATCAGCACAAAAGTATATTGTGTTAGTTAAAATGCAAATGACTATTAATGAAAAGTGTAACATGGTTTAAAGGGTGTGTTACAAAAATAAAGACATGATTGTTGATTTCAGGGCTTCCATTAAAGTTCACAGGGACAACAGCCAATCCATATACTGTACCGATAAACAGACATGGGCCTCATTCACACAGGGTGTATGAATCTGTGCCCGGCCTGACAGCCGTGTCGACCTGCATGGGGATGCACAGGTGTTAAATGGGATGCGGCAGCTGCAGGGACACAGTCGCAGGTCCAAAAAGTGACATCCCTGTGGGTGTATGGCCCCAAGAGCACCCAAGGTACGTTCAGGGCTACGTGACTGCATAGATCACAATGGGAGCAGCAGCTGTGTCCGTGCAGCTAATGCATCCCATCTGAAACAATGGAACACCTGTACATCTCTGTGCTGGAAAACACAACAGTCACACGGGGCACCGATTCATACGCCCCATGTGAATGAGACCTTATACAGTTGTTGTTAACCACTTCCAGACCGGACACTTCCCCCCCCTTCCTGTCCAGGCCAATTTTCAGCTTTCAGCACTATCACACTTTGAATGACAATTGCGTGGTCATGCAACACTGTACCCATATGAATTTTTTTAGCATTTTTTGAGACAGGTAAAGCTTTATTTTGGTGGTATTTATTTACCACTGGGATTTTTATTTTTTTTTTTGCTATGTAAATGAAAAAGTCCAAAAATTTTGAAAAGTGTTTTTCTTATAAAATTTTGCAAATAAATAGTATTTCATCATAAACCTTGGCCAAAATTTATTCCGTTATCTTTTTAGTAAAAAAAAAAAAAAAAAAACAAATTAGTTTATAACCAAAATTATAATTTTTAAACTTTTTTTTTATATTATTTATGGTTTTTTTTTTTACATACTGTCACCCTAGCAGTCAGTGTCACCATGGGGACACTGTACTACTTATGGGGGGTGATGAAGATTTTTTTTTTTTGTTTTTTTTTTTTACACCGATTACTTTTACACCCATAAAGGCTGTAAAAGCAATCATTTCTCCTTCTCTCTGGCTGCATTCTTGCAGCCATTAAGAACTACTGTGTGAGCTGTGATTGGTCACAGCTTGTCACATAGTACAAGGCTGTTGTGAATAGCCTTGTATCATGTGACCTCTGTGATCATTCACAGATTTCACACATAGTAAGCAAAGATGTCAGTGGTTTTTGATTGCTCAGTCTCAGAAGCAGTAGGGGACAGATGCAGCATTAGACTGATGCCAATATGGAAGAAAAATATATTTGAAATATAGTTTAAAAATATTCTTCCCAAATATATTGACATACATTTGAAATAATACAATTTTGGCCATATTCAATATATCTAAAAATTTAAATATATTTGAAATATATTTAATATGGCCAAACTTTTAGTATTTCAAATATATGTCAATATATTTGGGAAGAATCTTTAAAAAAAAAAAAATAAAATAAATATATATATATATATATATATATATATATATATATAAAAATTTAAATATATTTTGAAATATATTGAATATGGCCAAACTTTTAGTATTTCAAATATATGTCAATATATTTGGGAAGAATCTTTAAAAAAAAAATAAATAAATAAATATATATATATATATATATATATATATATATATATATATATAAAAATTTAAATATATTTTGAAATATATTGAATATGGCCAAACTTGTAGTATTTCAAATATATGTCAATATATTTGGGAAGAATATTTTTAAAATCGATTTATATATATATAAAATTTAAATATATTTTGAAATATTTCCACATAAAATACTCCTCTAAAAAATTTTTTTACCAAGTGCTCATAAATCATCTATTAGTGACATGATGTACTTACGAATACCCTCAATTTCATTTATATTCATAATACCCTCATTTAATATAATAAAAATAGTAAACCAACTAATAACCCTCAACAAAAACGCATTTAAATGATCCCCCATAAATAAAAATAACCAAATGCTCATAAATAATTAGTAGTGATTAGTATGAATCCAAATATCATCAAAATAATAGTCCCATTGAATAAACAATTGTTTATATATATAGTGACTTGGTGCTTGTTGTTCTTCAATTTGTGACTTTTGTGAATCCTTCAAATAGTGAAGATGTGCGCTCACCTCCTTTGATGCCTGCAATTAGTGCTTTACCCTTTAAAACTTTTTATTCCCACCATCCAAGTATTAAACTCAGGGGGTTGTGATAGGTGATCATACCTATCACAACCCCCCGATGAAGCCACGTGATTGGAGGCGTAACGCGTAGGGGAGGGGCTACGTCATCACTCGGAGAGGAGCTGCACAACACGATAGACGGCAGGTGTATGACTCAGAGGCCAGCAGAGGATTTCCAATGGGATATTGCGTTATTTAAACCCGTCTAATGTGAGCTTAATACTTTGATGGTGGGAATAAAAAGTTTTAAAAGGTAAAGCACTATGTCCTCTATTTCTTCCTGCATGCGGAGTAACACAAGGAGAGGATAATTAGGAGGTCTGAGATAACAAAAGGAGTGTGTAATCCCTGAGGGGATAATCAGCCACCAGAGGATACATCCATTACTCCTAAAGGAAGGATCTCCCAATTTTACCAGCAAAAGTATATGTCCAGCAGGTTCCAGGGAAAGTGAACCGAAAGCGTGTATAGCCTAATTGCAGGCATCAAAGGAGGTGAGCGCACATCTCCACTATTTGAAGGATTCACAAAAGTCACAAATTGAAGAACAACAAGCACCAAGTCACTATATATAAACAATTGTTTATTCAATGGGACTATTATTTTGATGATATTTGGATTCATACTAATCACTATTAATTATTTATGAGCATTTGGTTATTTTTATTTATGGGGGATCATTTAAATGCGTTTTTGTTGAGGGATATTAGTTGGTTTACTATTTTTATTATATTAAATGAGGGTATTATGAATATAAATGAAATTGAGGGTATTAGTAAGTACATCATGTCACTAATAGATGATTTATGAGCACTTGGTAAAAAAATTTTTTAGAGGAGTATTTTATGTGGAATTATTTTGATATTTATTTGGAGGAGATTGATTACTTGAAATTATCTATTTAAATATTTTTTGGTATTTATACACTTTTATTAGTTATTTGAATTAATTTAATGGTAATCATTTAATTATTATTTATTTAGAAGTATTTAGGAGCGCAAACATATATTTGTAGATATTTCCAACACAGTTGTAGTTATGTGTTTCATGTTTGCGATCCTCTAGTAATTATCACACCTGTGGCTCGCAAGTAACTCTGATTCATCTATATTTTGAAATATACTGAATATGGCCAAAATTGTAGTATTTCAAATATATGTCAATATATTTGGAAAGAATATTAAAAAAAAAAAAAAGTATATATATATA